GAGAGAGGGAAGGGTGCTGAGAGGAAACCCCAGGACCGAGAATTTTCCACCCTTTACAGGTATCTGCAGCCGCTCCTGTTGGGCCTGAGGCTCAAGCCTGAACCAGGAGAGACAAAAAAAAAACCAAAAAACCAAAAAACAAAAGCAAGGATGCTGAGCAAAGAGGCCAGGAATCTAACCAAGTCATCTGTGAAAAGCAGCACTGACCGGCACAGATGGAAGGCATCCTGGGGCTCGTCCCCTCCACCCTGAACCCTTGCATCTCTCAGATGAGCTGTCTGAGGTCCCGAGAGGTCAACTGTCCTCCATGGAGCCAGCTACCAGCAGAAGAGGCAGAGTTTGAATCAGGACCCTAAATTCAGTGCTCCTTGCTCTGCAGTACACTACTGCTGCTTCCCAGAGCGCACAGTCACCAAGTAACAGAAAGGGCATGGGATTTAGGGTCAACAGACCTCGTTCACGTTCTGGCTCTACTCCTTACTAAGAATAAGTGTAACACATCCCTGTGATACTCAGTTGCCTACCCTATAAAATGCAAACAACTACTACCAGTAGGACTCTTACAAGAATCAAGATGACATACATAAAACATCTGGCACACAGATAATGGTCACGCAAGCATAGTGATTATTGTGGTTTCTAGATGTCCACAGAATTTGTAATCCTGAAGAAAGACATGTCAGTAGGAAGCTGTCCCACTAGCCCCACCGAGACTGTGATCTCCATTTTAGACTAAAATGTTTTCACCAGTGAAGGAATAAAGGACTCAATCCATATTAAACACACAAACAAACAAAAAGCTGTATTCAATATACAAACTTACTTTGTTTACTTTAAGACTTATTCACCCACCTATTTCTGAGAGGACATAAATGCTTTGAAAATTTGACACACAATGCAAAATTAGAGAATAAAGATTAAAACAGAAAGTCGGTCTAAAGGACACAAAGGAGAAAGGACACAAAAGAGAAATGTCAGGGCTCTAGAAGTAGAGGCACAAAGGGAGATGTGCTGGGCTGCACAGATCTTATTTTCTGGTTGACCGGAAAAAGTAGCCCACAGAATCCTGCACTGCCAGGGTGGACCCAGGCAAGCTCCAATGTGCCACTAACTTCTTTACCCTGAAAGCCATGAAGAACAGCAAAGTGGTGATTGGCAACTTGGAACCCAGAGTTCCTTGGCAGCAACTGCTCGTCCTCTATCCTCCCTAGGACAAGCGCACTTCCTGTTTTGAGAAAACAGAGAAGCAGCTGTAGTTGCAGTCTGTACCATACATCACACTTCCACCTGTACAGTTTCAGGATAAACAACTCAGAATAGACTTCTAGAAAGCCCTGGGAGAGCAATGAAAGGGACACTGGGAGAAACCATTATTCTGACCATGAAAAAGTATAAACAGGTTTACTCATAGGCTCCAGGTAAAGAGGAGAAACGTCATGGCGTCCTCCAATTCCAGCCCAGGCAGGGGTAGCACACTGGAAAAAGTGCCTGCCTTGATGAGAGAGACATCTCATGGCTGTGGATACTGTTAAACTGCCTCTCACAGCAATGTGAGCTGCCGGGAGAAAAATAAAGCAACTCAGAACTTCCACTGATAGAAGCAGGGTTCTTATCGTAAATAGAATCCTAAATAGAAACACATAGTTACCTTATTTCTGCAAAGAACAGCTTTCCCAGAAATACAGAACAAGTCATAGAGGTGAGACTGAAAGACAGTCGTGAGAATATTCCATATTCTAAATCCCTCGAGTTGATAACTAACAGTCCATCCAGGGAAACCAGAGTAAGAATGAAACCAGTGCCAACTACCTCCTACAGTGCTGGGAGATAGGCCTGTGATCAGCTCCATCTCCAGGGGCACAGGGTCGGGAGAAGCAGAGCATGCACCGCTGCAGGGGGACTGCCCAGTCAGTTCCAGCCCCTATGAGGCGCAGAACCAACTGCACCAGATTCCAGGCCTTCTCCCTCTGGCACATTCAGTTTGCAGGATTAAGTGGAAGGGCTTTAATCTGGGCAGATCAGGAGGAGACAGAACATCCAGTAAACAAAGTAAGGAATGATGAGGACTCACAAATGATACCTGAGATTTGTTCCAAATGATCGGGGACAGTGTGGGCAAGAAAAAAAAGGAAGCAAGATTGGTCATGAGCTGGTAATCGTTAAAGATGAGAAATGACATGGGGTTTAACTTCACCACACTTTTGTATGTGTGAAACATTCAAAAATAATAAAAACATCATGCATATTCATTGTGGGAATTTAGGTAAACATAAACCCACCAAGAAAACACAATCCTATCACCTGAAACACCTACTATTACCATTTTGGTCCATTTCCAATATTTTCCATATTTTTCTTTCTTGTGCATATAAAACAGAACCATACTGTCCATACTGCTCATAACCTTAATTTACCCCCAACCTTAATTTATGCCCCCCTTAATTTACCTTACATATTATTCAAGTCATTAAGTATTTTCGATGGCATGATTGTTGCATAGTCTTTCATCAATAATCCAGAATCTATTTCCCATTTTTTGCTACTATGAATAAGGCTGTAGTGACCCAGGAAGGATGACACTTACTATAAACATGGGATTTCAAGTGAGAAGGAAACTGCTGGATACATGCCTAAACATAAACTGATAGCATAAAGGAAAAGAAAAGGTGAAGAGAGAGAAGCTGGTGACTCACAGGCTACATCACTCTAAGCAATTATTAACTTTCCAGGTACTCCCTGTTGCAAAGCCATAAAGAACAGCAAAGTGGTGGGGAATAACAGAAAACCTCAACAGGTCTGAGGCTGAGGCATTCTTGTTGAGTGCCTCCCAGTCAACAATCATTCACCAGGTTCAGGCAGTGAGTTTAGGAAATCTGCCGGAATCACTTCTGAAATGCTTGAGTTTTGTGATACTGAGTTTTCAGGGGGCAGAATATTTCATCCATCTGGGATGGTACAGGAAGGTTCTGTAGGCACAAGAGTGGGTCATATGGCTCTTCAAAGTCCACTGTAGTTCAAGTAATCAATTGTGCCATTCCAATTAACAAAATCAAATAGAACTAATACAACCAGATGTTGCTTGGGCCTGTAACTGGGTTCCTTCTCCCGAGACTTACAGATAATTTCCTCTCCCCCTACCAAAAAGAAAATCCTTAAAATTCTCAATGTGGGAAGAAAATGGGGACCCTGTGTCTTCCCTGGGCTATCTGTTCCCTCCCAGAAGTAGAATCTGGCTGAATGTCTGTGGAGACAACACCTCCTACAATCAATATCTGAATGCCAATCAAAAATATAATTTTTTCTTTCCAAATCAAATTCACAAACTATCTACTTTGTGAAACAGTAGAAAGAACCAGAACTAAATACAGTCTGGCTGTGTTCCATCTGGCTTTCTCAGACAGCTAAAAAACACCAGGGACCACTGAATCAAACCATTTGGCTCTGGCCAGCAGCTGGGAAGAGGCCCCTCTGTAGCCACCCTGGACAGGAAGCCACTGCTACCTTCCTCTCCAGGAGAGACACAAGGCCTCAGCGATGGGCAGAACCACAGAGGGATCAAGAGGATGCTAGGTGACTGTGCTGCTTTCCTTAAACTTTTCCTTCCTTTTGTCCATCTCTATCTCCCATTCTGGTTCTTTTATTTCAGAAAAGACAACTGTGGCTCTCTTCTCATTTTGTCAAGGACTGAGTGGAGAGAAAAGGTGAGCCAGTGACACACCAAAATTCAAGCTCTTAGGTCAGAAATGATGTACATAGGCAATTAAGTGCTTACCACTTAGTAAGTGAATAGCAGCTGCCATATGCAGTCTCTAAACTGATTTCTAACCTCTGACCCTGCCCTCCCCAAACAGAAGAGTCCTCAACATCCGCCTATTACCAGACCCACCTGCAATTTCAAGACTATATTACCAACTATATAAACTCTCTGAGGACCACTATGAAAAGGTGCTAAATGTATATACAAAGACTAGGAAGATATACACAAACTCAAGAGTGGTTTTTGTTATTATTATTTTTGTTATCAGGTTGTTTTGATAGTAGAAAACTATTTTTAAAACGTAGGTTTGGCTGGGTTCGGTGGCTCAGTGTGCAATCCCAGCACTTTGGGAGGCCAAGGAGAGTGGATTGCCTGAGTCGGTGGGTTCCAGACCTGCCCAAGGCAACTTGGCGAGACGTCTCTACAATAAATAAAAAATTAGCCAGAGACCTAGTCTCTACAATAAATAAAAAATTAGCTGGGTGCAGTAGCGTGCGCCTGTAGTTCCAGCTACTTGGAAGGCTAGGGCTGAAGGATTGCCAGAGCCCAGCAGGTTGAGGCTGCGGTTGCCGGAGCATGCCACTGCACTCCAGTCTGGGCAACAGAGTGAGATTCCAACTCAAAAAAAAAAAAAAAAAAGTAGGCTTTATTTATTTATTTTTTTAACCAACATTCCACTTATATATTTTGCTGAGATTGAAACCTATCAAAGCATGAGTTCATTTCTGACCTAAGTCTATGTCCTCCTTCTGGATTCATATATTACAGAGAAGCAGGCAAAAAACAAATAAATAGAAATGCAGCCAAAGATGCCATGCTGTTTTTTTCCAACTGGGCTCCCCAGTAGAGCACTCTAACATTTACCAAAATTGAGCTGGAAAACTCTATAAGTTTCTATGCCTATGGCTTGACCTTTAATTTATTCCCCCTAAAATGAAGCAAAACAGCCAATTGTATAAACACAGAACAGCTGTCTTCTGGCAAAGACAGTATCCCATTGCACATAGCCACACCCTGAGGCAGAGACACATACCAGTCTACTTCATTCCCAAGCCCCAGCTGATCTGATTGCTGTAGATTTCCCAGAGGTTCCACTGAGCTCACCCTCTGACTATAAGCATGGTCAGGAGCCATATGCTTGGGCGGCTCAAAGCCCACCATCTCCTGCAGGATGTACCAACACCCACAGATGCGCTCTACCTGGACCTCCCTGTGCAGGGAAGAGACCAGAAAGGAAAGTTACCTTGCAGACTGCCGCCTGGAGCACTGCATCAAAGCCCCCCTCGGGGGCATCACGGTTCCTGGACACCCTCTGTTTCCGAACTTCCTCATTGAAGCTGTCGACTCTGTCTGTGAGAGGCAGCAGATGGCGGAACCCAAAGGAGGGGACGCAGTTTGGAAATAACTTGTAACTAGAGAGAAAGAAGAGAAGAGTCACTTTTCCATCACTGTCTGTAAATCTTAACCACGAGTTCTGTGCATTCACTGAGTGCCTTGAGGGGTATCAGTGGATATCTGCCCAGCCTCTCTTAAATGCCTCTGGGACAGACATAGCAGGGAGGAGAACAAAGATAGATAACACTGTCCCTACTCTCCAAACAGCAAGCCATAAACAGCAGGCAAGGCAGCACATACCAAACTGTGAATGGTAGGGACGAGCAGTTCCAAGGAAACAGAGGCAAAGGTAAGCTACTGTGGTTGGAGGAAGACTTGGCGTTGGCCTTGAAAAATGTGTGAGACCCACAGAGGGGGCCAGCCTAGGCAGAGCAGAGGGGAAGGCTCCTCCAGGCTGAGGAAGGAGAACAATGCCCATTACACACAGTTATTCTATGAAGCCAGCTTCTCCCATTGACTCTGCTGCCTGTGACAAAGGATCACATAACCTCTTCAAGGCAACCCACTCAGTGACCAGGATGTGCTGGTGCATGCACAAATGCTAAACGGAACAGGAAAGGAAACATTCTTTCTGTTTCTTCAGTGATAGACTATCAGCTCTTCTAGATACAATAAAAATCATTCAGAAGTTAAGCATTTTCAAATGGGAAGTTCTAACTGGAAATTTGGAAAGAAGGAAGTAATGCATGTCAGTAGTAGGTTAATGACAAGCCTTTCTTCTGAAATACTGGATGATCTCTTCAGTCTCCTGTGAAGACCTCAAATGGCCCCATTCCTGGAGGAAATTAGCTCTCAATTATTGTTCTAAAAGTTTTGGCTTAATCTATAGCTAATGGAACAGGAAGAGAGGCCTGTTTTATAAATGGGTTCACAAGGTAAAGGGGGAGAGGGGAGAGCGTAGCAACCAGAGAGAAAGGCATATGCAAGAGGCCTGTGGCAGGAAGGAGGGAGCATAGAGAGCTCAAGGGCAGGTGGAGACTGGTAGGGGCCACAGTGCGTAGCAAGGGGTAAGAAAGGACGAAAAGGAGCCTGGAGCAGGCTGGGCCTGACTGTGCAGGGTCTGTGGCCTGTTAAGGAAGGAAGTCTCTCTTTTAGAACAAAATATGAAAAAACAAGCACTAAAAGAGAGGCCTGTGGGAAAGGCTTTGTAATCCAAACTATGGGCATAGGAAGAAAAACAGGCTTAGCAATTGCAAGGAGGACCCTGCCTTAACTGCCGCCAAAAAGCGGCCTCACCAGGGCAGGTCTGGGCAGGCTCCCCTCCTCTGCAAAGAGGCTACCTTTGGCTCTCTAGGGGGCCATTTCATTCCCTTTCAGAGCTACAGTCCCTGTTCCATCCACCACGGTCACAGTAGCACAGCACAGAGTCCCTAGCAGTAAGCCGGCTTTGCAGAATCAGTCCCACTGCCATGACTGCCTTGGCTCTCTCTGGATGGGTGGTAGTGACTAGAACCTTCCCTGCTTGCCTCTCCTTTGTTTTTCTCCCGTCTCCTTTTCCCAAATTTTCATGAACACCTTGAGGTTGGACAGGTCAGACTCTTTCCTGACTCATGCCTCAGGCCACCCAAATTTTTCATTACTTCCTCATTTTGTCATAAACAGAACAGTCATAGAAACAATATTCCCAGCTGGAAGTAGGAGTTGAGGTCCCATCTGTAGTGATTTGGACATATGGGTAACAGGCCCAGAAGGAAGTGGATATATCTACAAACTCTTACTTTCGTCTCCCTTCCTCCCAGCCTCTGCACTCTTCTGTGTTATTCTGGTCCATGAGTTAGGACTTCAGGTGTGTGTTTTTGTCATACTTGGTCAGATTGGTTGTGGAACAGGAGAGAAACAGAATAGTAATTACTGTCTAATGAGAAAACCAGCAAAGCTGTGAGAAACTCAGCTAAAAATCAGCATGTTTTACCTCTTCTCTTTTGCTCTTGCAAACAGCAATAAGCATATACGTTTTTGCTGTGGAGAATTACTGTTAAGTAGTTAGGAACTAGAAAATGTGTTTGCCAGAGAGAAACCTTCACTGCAGAGAACTATAACCAAATCAGAGTCATTTCTTACTGAGAGGAAAATAGCTCTGTCACATAGACCCTGGGAATGTCTCCATTGTCACTGGAATAGGATGTCCTCTGTTGACTAGTTGGCTGGTTTAACTCTTTTTTTTTTTTGAGTTGGAGTCTCACTCCATTGCCCAGGCTGGAGTACAGTGGCAGGCTCACGGCCAACCCAGCGTCAACCTGCTGGGCTCCGGCGATCCTTCCGCCTCAGCCTTCCAAGTAGCCAGAACTACAGGCGTGCGCTACCATGCCTGGCTAATTTTTGATTTATTTTTAAGATGAGGTTTCGCCAAGTTCCCCGGGCTGGTCTCGAACCTGTGGTCTCAGGCAATCCACTTGCCTCAGCCTCCCAAAGTGCTGGGATTACAGGCTGAGCCACCGAGCCCAGCCTGATTTAACTCTTAAAAGAGCTGTCTGAATGACCTGAAGATCTGGGTGTTTGGGGGTCTCATGTGTGGAGACTCTCCCACCCCCACCCTGTGTCTGTGCTGTAAGACCCCAGGGACGTGCACAGGGAGCTAAAAATTAGAATCATATGTTCTCACTCATAAGTGGACCTTGAACAATTATCGTAAACTTTAAGAAAAGGATGGGCAGTAGAAGGAAAGTGCCCGGGGGTGGAGGGATTGACAGTAGTGGGAATCTGCTGGGGGAGGGGCGGACACACCTCATCAACAAGGGTACCTGTATAATGAACATCTGTATACCTAATCCCGAATTGTACCCCACATCTTTAAAATAAAAAATTTATAAGATAAAAGGATTATAAACAAGAAAGAGAAAAAAATAAAATAAACATGGTTAAAGAACTGGGGGCACGTGTACATATATAAAAAGTGAATCCAACTTGAAGACACCAAATCTAGGCAAATCCAGAAAACCATCGAAAACTTCCAGGACAATGTCATGGATTAAGGCAGCACAGGAAGGTTCTCCTTTTACTCTAAATATATAGAACTGCCGGATAAAACATAATTTTTAAAATGTGTAATATACAGCCAAGCCTGGGAGCTTAGAAGTGAAATCCCAGGTGCCAAAAGTGAAGAGGAAACCATTCAATAAATGAATGGATTTAGGATTAGGAGAAAAGACGGAGAATGAGCAGGTGCATATTCCCAGGAGCCCCCGGTGCATCAGAACTTGACAGAGGCCCCAAGGGCCCAAGGCAGGAGACTACCTGGACCATGATAAGCCTCGGGCCCATGCAAGGCCGGGCACTGAAATAGGGCTCCCTGAATAAAGCCGGGCACTACAAGAGTTGCTGTGTCACTAAAACTACAAACGGAAAAATTCCAGCTACTGGTCTCAGAGAGAGACAAGGAAGCTTACCTCTACTCCAGGGCATGAGTGAGATAAATGAGTTAAAACTTGTAACTCCAGGCCCGAGCAATCAGAAGTCACTACTTTTATGGTGAAAAAATCCCCGACTGAGAAATTAACAGGGAAACTAGTCTCACGATGAGAGCGAGAGGTTTCTGGCAGCAGCAAACATGAAACTGCTCCACGGGGATGCCAGCACAACCTCTGATGAAGAACTAGTGAAAAAGTGACAGATCCCACAAGAGACAAACCATGAGGGAATGTCAGCAGATCTGACATGCCAAAGAACCCACAACTCAAGAAATAGAAAAGAAGGATTTAAAATGCTTCAAGTCTAAGATATTTAAAACATTCAAAGAAAGGAAGGAATAGAAACCAAAGGCCAGACACAAGATATTATTAGAAAAACAAAACAAAATGGAAGGCTCTGAAAAAAACAGTATGAAAAACAGAAGGATCTGAAAAAGAACCAAACAGTAATTAATGAGACGAAAAAGACAGTCACTGAAATTCAAAAATGAAACCCAATGTATGGATTAAACAGTTGAAGAAATAAATGTAAACTGGAAGAAATCTCCTATGCAGCTAAGAGAAAGAAAGAGGTCAAAATTACAGGAGAAAATTTAAGAAACACGAAGTTTAGAATGAGAAGCTCCAAAGGACACCTAATACTGTCAAAAAGAAAAGGGAGTGAAGAAGAGTGAAAACAAACAAAGAGATAATAATGTCTAAGAATTTTCAGGAACAAAGATGTACTCTCAGATTAAACAAGCAGACCAAGTTCTGAGCAATATAAAGAAAAACCCAACCTAGACACATTAGAGGGCATAGAATTATGGAATATGAAAAGCACAGGAAAACATTAAAAAGCTGCCAAACAAAAAGAAAATGATTAGACAGAAGATTCCATACCAGCCCTGAGATATATCAGCAGACCATGGAATAATACCTTTGAGGTGGTGAAGAAATACTAAGACGATACTAAAACACAAAGGGAGTGTAAACATCTAAATAAAGATGAAGCCTATTCGCTCACTTGCACATATTCTTACTTGATACATATTTCAACAACAGCTCAATACCTCTAAAAAAGAAAAAGTGTTCAGAACTGGAAATAATATGCCAGGTTAATCCTTTGAACCCTGTATCAGTGAATATCATGTGACTCTTCCCTGTGAAACTATTCCTATTACTCAGAATAGAAATTAAACAGTTCTTTCATCTGATGATTAAGTTACTCTACCATGGCAGCCCTGGTACTTCTTACTTCAGATTTGGCATTTCTGGTACATTCTAAGATGGGGAGGGATGAGTCTAGGATTTTGATCCTGTTGGTAAAAACGTCTGGAGAGAAGAAGGAGGGACAAGCCTCAGGAAAGCCACATGCATTCTGGCTCTCTTGTCTCTGACATGTCCTGCACAGGTGGTTAAATCACATCTCTTGACTTTCCCACCTCCCTATAACTTCATGGGAACTGCTGCTGCTTCCACCACTGGGGAGAAAAACCTAACTGAAGGTACCATTGGAACTCGAGAAGAACTCTGTGGTTTTCTTCTCCACATTCCCTGGAAGAAAAGGATAGTTAGAAAAGGATCATAAACATCTGCTGAGCCCAAGCATGGAATGTGAACAAATGAAA